GGGATCTTTACATAAATAGTCGTTCGGATTCACTATTTATATTTTTTTAGTCGGCATATAGATAATAAACTCATTATACATAGTTATACATATATTATACATGAATTATACATATAATATATATTTGTCGGCTATTTTTAGTTTAACCAATTGGGTGAGCGGCTATTTAAGTTGATTCCTATTCGGTATACCAAATGTGTACTTAGCGGTGGCAAAATCAGCTCAAGAAACTGGGGGATTTGCAGTCGTACCCTATATTTGTGTCACCTTTTAACCTGTACCTTATTTTTTAAAATTATTGATTTGGTAGCCATCTCACAAAAAATCCGTAATAATATGACAATTACACCCCTGACAAAAGATATAAAATGATCTCTTCCTCTCCTCTCAGCTACTTTATAAAAAAATCAGAACTTGTCCAGATTCATCTTCAGAATCACACTTGCATGAAGTTGTTTCACCTTGAAGCTAAAACTTTATGCTAATGTAGCATGAAGTTGTTTCATGTTGAAGCTAAAACTTCATGCTAATGCATGCTGAAGTTATTTAGTTCATTTGCTAAAATTTCAGACTAAACATGCTTAAGTTATTTAGTTCATTTGCTAAAATTTCAGACTAAACATGCTTAAGTTATTTAGTTCATTTGCTAAAATTTCAGACTAAACATGCTTAAGTTATTTAGTTCATTTGCTAAAATTTCAGACTAAACATGCTTAAGTTATTTAGTTCATTTGCTAAAATTTCAGACTAAACATGCTTAAGTTATTTAGTTCATTTGCTAAAATTTCAGACTAAACATGCTTAAGTTATTTAGTTCATTTGCTAAAATTTCAGACTAAACATGCTTAAGTTATTTAGTTCATTTGCTAAAATTTCAGACTAAACATGCTTAAGTTATTTAGTTCATTTGCTAAAATTTCAGACTAAACATGCTTAAGTTATTTAGTTCATTTGCTAAAATTTCAGACTAAACATGCTTAAGTTATTTAGTTCATTTGCTAAAATTTCAGACTAAACATGCTTAAGTTATTTAGTTCATTTGCTAAAATTTCAGACTAAACATGCTTAAGTTATTTAGTTCATTTGCTAAAATTTCAGACTAAACATGCTTAAGTTTTTGTCTTGCAGTATGTAATTTTCTAAATAGTTTTTGCTAATGCATGCTGAAGTTATTTAGTTCATTTGCTAAAACTTCAGACAAAACATACTGAAGTTATTTAGTTCATTTGTTAAAACTTCAGATTAAACATGCTGAAGTTTTTTAGTTCATTTGCTAAAATTTCAGACTAAACATGCTTAAGTTTTTGTCTTGCAGTATGTAATTTTCTAAATAGTTTTTGCTAATGCATGCTGAAGTTATTTAGTTCATTTGTTAAAACTTCAGATTAAACATGCTGAAGTTTTTTAGTTCATTTGCTAAAATTTCAGACTAAACATGCTTAAGTTTTTGTCTTGCAGTATGTAATTTTCTAAATAGTTTTTGCTAATGCATGCTGAAGTTATTTAGTTCATATACTAAAATTTCATACCAAAACATGCTAAAGTTTTGTAACGCAGTCTACAGTTTTGTCCTGAATTTTATCCGAAATTTCAGTCTAAACAAGCAATTTTTTTAGTTTATTTGCTAAAATATCAGCCTAAACATGCTTAATTTTTTTCCTGCAGTTTGTCAATAGTCTTTTATTAAAGAAGGGCAAAATCATCTTTTTAAAATGCTTTCAACAATAAAATGGGTACGGATGCAAACGAAAAAACAAAACGTATATAAGTTAAAAAGGGGCGACCAAATAAGGCTTCCCATGCAATTTTTACCAAGAAACATGACCTACTCAACCCATCCATTTATTAACTCGGACTGTTATCTAAAATTTGGGTTTACATGTTAGCTCAAATTGACCCATGAGAAACCTTTCAAAAAAAAATATTTTTTTTTTGTTTTATATGTTATAAATAGCTAAAATAAAGAAATTAAAACTTGATAAGAGTTGGAGGGGTTGAACTATAACCCATTATTTAGGGTATTTTTCTTATATATATATATACTACTATAATAGAAACTTATTTACCTATTTTCTTTAGGTTTTGTAGTTTTCAGTAAGTATCTAAATTTTTGTTACAAATTGGATATATTCCCCCCTTAAAAGGCTCCCACCCCATTATTAGTGTCTTCAATTAAGGGATTCAATTAAATCATTCCTTTTTCTCCTCTCCTCTTTCCTTTTTTTACTTTTCCTAATTTCTTCGGTTTGTTTATCTAACACATTCACCCCACAAATTGGTCCATTCAAAGACCATACACACATACACACACACACACACATACATACATACATACATACATACATACATACATACATACAAATTCGAGTTTTAAGATTTTGTGATTTGTGTGGATTGGATGTTCTTGCAAGTGATTAATAATATCCTTTGGAGTTTATATCTCAATTTTGAGGGAGATTGGACAAGTATATAGTTGGTTTTAGGTGAAAATTCAGATTGAAACTCGAAGAAGAAGAAGATGTTTCAGGAATTGTATGATAATTGTATAATAATTATATCATAATTGTATCTACTTCTGATACATACCTAAAACATAATTGTATCATAAATGTATCATACTTGTATCACAATTGTATCTAGTATTTGATACATTAATACCTAAAACAATACACGATACAATACTAACACAATTCTCATACATTTGTGATACAAATTGCGATACATTTTTTGAAAAATTGTGATACAATTATGATCTTTATCTTCTTCAAGTTTCAATCACAACTCTAAACTTAAAATTTGATATAATATTGTATTATAATTGTATTAGTATTGTATCAGATATTATTTTAGGTATTAATGTATCAGATATAAATAACATACAATTTTAATACAATTGTGACATAACTCTAAAATAATTGTGATACATTTATCATACAATTATCATACAATTCCTGCAACTTCGTTTTCTTCGATTTTTCATCTGAAATTTTATGTAAAACCAACTCTAAACTTAACCAATTTTCCTCAAAATTGAGATATAAACTACAAAGTATATTCTCCATCATTTTCAAGAACACCAAATCCAAACAAATCATAAATTCGTAAATTTCGAATATTGAATTCAAAGTTTCGAAACTTTTTAATGGATGTCGATGGAGAACCCTTTGCTGCTGCAATTTTATAGATAAAATTTTTGCCATTTTCGTTTACATTGTAAGAGAAGTACCGATTTTGGATGATAAGTATGATGGATAGAGAATGAGATGTGAAATCTTTTGAAAATAGATGAAATTCGAATTTTTAGGAGGGGGTCGGTGAAGGAGAGAAAATGAGATGCTAAATTTAAGAATCTTTTATTTTCTTCTTTTGTATAGTTTTGTACATAAATGGTAAATATAGATATAAAATGTAAGTAAAGTACGAACCTAAATAAAAGTGGTAGATAAGTATCTATTATAGTATAACCAGGTAAATTTTTTCATTATTTAACCCATCTTGATCCAATTAATTTCAGCACAAAAGTAATCTTTGGACGGAAATTGATCTCACTTTCTTTGGGTAAATAACTTAACATACAACCAAGTGCACCATTCAACTTTTTTAGAAGGTGAGGGCCATCAAATAATATTAGATTATTTCTAGAAAATACGGAGTATATACATAAAATACCTAGTTTGGAGGAAAGACCATATTTTCACGTGCACCATAATTTGAGTCTAAATTCGCCCCGACTTTAGTGCTGCTTCAGATCGGCTTACCTGGAGAAAACACAAAGCATATGTGGATGAGGTATCGATTTTAGTCAAAGTTGTAAATTTCAAGTAAACAAAAAGGCATATCTTTCAAGAGGGACTACTCCTATTTCTATTATTGGTGTAGGTGAACTAATAAGCTCTATCATCCCTCATCCAAAGAGGCAATAGATGAAAACGCCAGGATCCAGAATAGTAGTAGTACATACTAGTAGATAATATCAAATTTCAAGAAAGTAGATCCACTACGGCGTCCTTTTCTCCTTGTATTTTGTGTTCTATGCACATTTCATGGAGTGGGTATTATGTGCTCCACTGGGTATTTCTGGCTTTCCATTAAGTTAAACTGTAATGCACTTAGGATATACTATCAGATCACTTAAGTTAATTTAGATAAATAGCATTAAGTATGAGCGGTAACATTAGACTCATCTAACCAAGTATTCATTTGGGGGAGTGGCTGTACAGTGTAAAGATCCCTTATAAGTTCAGACAAATATATTGCTTACTGATTTTCTTTCATAGACTCATCGAAGGTTCTTATATGGGCTTAGCCGGTGGGCATATTAAAGTAAAAATAGCGCAGGCAAGTCATTTTTGGAACTGATAATCGAAAAACAACCAGCATTTATGAAGTTATTGAAAAATATTTACTGTTTTGCTGAAACACAGAAAGTACCAGCATAATATGCGGGATTATGGAGCTCATGCGTATGAACTTCCAGCATATTATGTTGGAACTCCAGCACACGGAAAGTTCCAGCATAATACGCAGGATTATGGAACTCCTGCTGATAAACTTCCAGCATATTATGATAGAACTCCAACATATTATAAAATTTTAGCATATTATGCTGGAAGCTCATATGTAAAAAAATTCGAACTCCAGCATATTATGCTGCTGGAATATTTCTGGATTTTTAATAGTGTTTTTGTTCAAATTTTATCTTTACATGAAAAGTGGTTAAATTTCGATTACTTTTAAAATTGTGGCTACTAGTCGTAAATATGACTGTCTGATTTTTTTTTTCCCCATATTGAAGTATTGAACCCAAAGATTGAATGAACGGGTTTGTTTATTTAAGTGACTGTTGAACATGTTCACTTCTATTTCCCTGTACCGCTTTCAAGTTGAAGAGTTATGATTTACATCTACCAATAGTTGGTTTGCTCAAGAATTGGATTTAAATGTTTGTAAGGACAAAATCAAGCAAATAATAAATATCTCAGCATATAAGCTTCGGTTTGTTAGGACTGAATCAAGTTATCATTAAATATGCTCGGCAATGAGCTTCCATTTACACTTCTGGGGTACCCAAACAGAATGAACAAACACTAAAGTCTTGTTGCCACCATTAAAGGCCCAACAATGTACTACGAAGATATAGGCTTCATTTCAACTGGATAATATCAGCTAGCATCCATAATTTGTCGCAACCACCATCTTCTTGTGGCATATGGAATACAAATACAGTCCTTTTGCTTGCATAATAATGGAAACAAAATAGATATAGTAGGTCGCCTTTCACAGTCCTGATGGGCTAATTTGTCACATTCCATCTCTTCTTATCTTCTTTTGCAAATAAATGATTTAGTAACAAATAAATACTCAAAAGAATAAAAATTAGCAGAACGGAAAATCACTTCACAAATGCTGCAAAGGGCTAAAAGGTTCAGGTAGCGACTCAAATCCGTTGTCAAATAACGTTTCTTGATCCGACTTGTCATCGATGCTGTGCAGCCAATTTGTGTTCTTCAAATCCTCTTTCAGCAGAAGCGCATCGTAACGAGAACTCTCATAAATATCAACGTCTGTCAATTTTGCTGAATATTGAGATCTGCCCTCTTCACTCCCATTCTCAGATGACCTGTTAAGGTAATTTCCATTCTCAGGAAGATTACCATTGTAGTGGTAAGATGCATTCTCATTGGTAGAGGATGGGGCAGTCGAACCATGAGAAGGCTGGTTTTTCCCATTTGTGGAGCGAATACTATGAGGAAAGAGGGTTGAGCCAGAAAGTGGACGAACACCATTAAGGCCATTTCTAATATCCTGCAGCAGCAATGTGTCCACAATGTTAAGTACAACAAACTTTCCTGCTCTTTGGCAGTTCAAGGAAACCCATACAGCATCAAATAGAACACACAATTAAGTCTTTAATTGTCGAAATCACTTCACCAACAACCATACGCAGACTAGAAGATAATTGAACCAGATCAGCAGTTAAGAGTTGCTATACAAATTTAGTAATCTGATCATAACAAAAGAATCTGCTCGATGCAAAATCTGAAGACCATACTTACCATATGCCTGATTGCCACATCAAGAGATTTCTTAGAAATTGTCCTTCCAAGTCCCGTGCTGTCAGTAGCAGTCTTTACAGGCTTCCTTGTAGACAATTCTGAGACATGTGAAGCCCTGCGGGAATCAGAAATATCATTAAGTTGCCCTCCGCCAAGCACTCGTCCTCTACCAGAGGGTTCTGTTAGTCTTCCCCTGCTAACAATGGGCGATGACTGTCTCCGAGGATTTGCCACACTTGGGCTTTCTGCATTTGCCTTGGTAGTGACAGAAGGATTTGGCCTGGACCTACCAGCAGACAGAGGCCTGTCTGGCAGAGTTGTGCGTAGGTTTGGAGGCGTTTCAAGTGAAAAATCTGGGGGAACTATTGGTTGTGATGGTCGACGAACTTGGGGACTAGGGGAGCTTGGACGAGAAACAGAAGCTGCAGGTCGTCCATTGGTGACAGAGCGCCCTGCTGGAGTTGATGATCTAGATGCTGGAGACAATGAAGGTGTTATGTTCCGACGAGTAGGTGTTGAAGGCCTTGAAGTAGACCGAGCAGCAGGGGTACTCAAGTTTGCTGGTATTTGGGCCCGGGAAGTTGGAGTAGAAGGTCTTGAGCTTTGGGTTGGCCTAGAAGGAGTACTTGGGGCTTGGCGGACTCTAGAAGGAGTTGAAGGTCTGGACACAGTTGCACGGGAAGTCGGGGTGGAAGGCCTGGCTGAAGAAGAAGAACGGCTTGTCGGCGTAGATGGTCTAATATAGGAGGAGACTGATGCAGAGCTTGTGTTTAGAATAGAGCCTGATTTATTTGAGTAACTACTGTACTGAGAGCTAGAAATGGAAGGTCGAGTCACAGAATTACTCCGAGTTGGTCTTGCAGGAGTATTGCTCTCTGAATGAGACACTGAAAGCTGAAAACAAATTATTTTATCAGCACAACTACTTGGCAAGGTAATTTGTGAGCGTTACAAGCCTGTGAAACTGATATTCTAGATAGCCATCTATCTAGTTTGTATGATAGAGGTCCAACAACACATTTCAAAAGTAAAGATATTGAGCAGCAATAACCTAAAATAATGATGACTGTGAATTTAAAAAAAAAGTGGATTGTGATAGACGACGGGATTGAGAAAGTTTTCATGGAGAAGTAAGTCTCAACGCTAAAGAGCATTGATATCGATATGCATGAATTCAACAATTCCAAAGACATGATTAATACAAAAAAATAGAGACTTACCCTTGAGGCCTTAGTAGTGGAGGCAGATCTGCCCAATGAGCTGCCTCTTGGAGCCACTGAAGCTGGTTTTGATTCACTTCCATCTGATGAAGGAACAAGGGGAGTTCCTGGAGGAGTGAGGAGCCTATACAAATGAAAACACGACGACTGTGAGTGAGGAATCAATAATGCTTTCCCTTCTTCATTTATTAGACATGGAAAGGGAAACATAGCTTAATTTGACTGGCGGCTATATGAAGACGACTGGCCTTAAGTTGATACATTAGAGATACACTACTACAGCTCTCGGCGGCTGCTGCTCAACAAAGGTATATTTAGGATGATACCGTCTCTTAGTCAATATTTGAGCACCCGACTAGTGACCTAGTTAGAAATTAGAGGAACTATTATTCTTTAACAGGAGCAGTCATTGCCTTTGTAATCAGTATGAATTCAACACACAGAGCAGTAAATACTAAAATAGTAGTAGTTCCCCATGTAAATTGAGTTAGTCCAAACAAATAATTAAGAGGCGAGATCTGATATTCCAGAGATGGAGATTTACCAATCGTAATCATGCTTATCTCCCTCGGTAGATGCCATCAGATCCTCTAATCCACTCTTTACTTGCTTAACTGATCCAATTGAAAGCCTCCCCAGTTTAACCGAAACTGCTGGCACAGAGCAACCAAAACAATTGTGTATGTATTTTGCGGGAAATAATGCAGATTAAACTTGTGATAATGAGGAAGCGTAAAATAGAAAAAGATTCAACGTAAATAATAAGTAAGAAAAAAGCCATACCATCGGATTCGTCGGAGGATGCAACGGAGATACTGCGGCGACTTTTGGAGAAAAGATCCAAGTTATCATCAGGCTTCTCTCTAGAAGCTCCGTTAAGACTAAGACCTCGCCGGTGCTGTGACGATATAGGAAAATTCTTCCCGCTGATCATTGAATCTCTGAAGCTCCGATTCATCGTTCTTCACTTATAACTAATTATTAATTAATATGAAAGCCTTTTTTCTTTTTGTAGGGGAAGTAATGTTGCCGGAGATTTGAGATTGAGCAGATCTGTGCTGCAGATTGGGGGAGAATAGAAGAAGAAGAAGAAGAAGGAAAGAAAGAAAGGATGTTAGGAATAGTAAAAAACTGACAGAGAGACAGGTAAGAGAGGGTCGGTGTGTTCCCTCCCTCCCCCTCTCTCCCTCCCTTACTCTGCCTCCTTTATTTCCCCCTACTTCCTTTTTTTGTTTTTTTTTTTGTTTTTTGCTAACCTTTTATGGGGATTGATTTTAACAACTTGCTACATAGTATACTTTTTCTAACTTCAAATGCTAATTAACTTGAAACATGCTTATGTTTTTATAACCATATCACTGAAAATAAAAATACATGTTAGAGTCATGAAATAGTAAAAACATTATACTATAAAATGAGACAAAGAGTACATTATATATAAATGATAGTATATTAAACAGTGTGAATATAACTAACTTTTTAAACTATTTAAATTTTATAAAAATTCAGTTTTCCTTTATGAAAAAATCGACACGATTTGATTATAAAAAGTAAATTAAACACAATTTGGTTATAAAGATAAATATTTTGACAAAAAATAGTGCAACTCTTTTTTTTAGAGGACGGTTCACTTTTGAAGTTTTACCACATCAATGATTTGATGTACTGTATTTACTTCCCCAAGTTTAATAAGCTCCGCCAATTTTAGAGAACTCGTACATAATTAGTCAAACGAATTTTCGAGTCAGCATGTTAGTTTTGGCTATTTCTCGAATCATTCAATTCTTCATTGTAAGTTGTTTTAATCATGTTAATGTCAACCACATTTTTCTTTTGTAAATATTAGTTTAATATTAGTCGATATTGTCGGTGCCCACATAGTGTAGGCTAATAAGTAATAACCGACTAAGTATAGGAAATTCTTTACTATTGTGTTTGTTATTTATGAGTCTAAAGAGTAATGGTACATAATGTACATTAAATATGTGTTTGATTATATATTATGATGGTGTTTGTCATTGCAATTTTTTCTGGTGGTTTATAGGGAAAACAATACATGTTCGTACTGTGGAAAAGTATGAATTCTATTAATCTCATAATTAAAAGATGGGATCCAAAGGTGTGTGCTTAGCCTTCTACTGCTGGGCTAGTTAAAATAGTTATTGATCATTGGAAGTCTGTTCAGTATGGTAATGATCATATATAATTCGTGGAAGAGTTTCCTTAATTATGAAGATAAGCTCATAATTAATTTTCTCCTTCAAAACAAGAATTGGTAATTATTAGTCTTGATAATTAACAAGACGAGCATAACTCTTTAAACAAATCTATTGCTAAATATGATAAATCACTTGTCAATTCCTTTCTATATTTCAATCTAAAGTACTAAATATCCGTGAAAAGAAAAGGAATAAGCAACAAAAAAAAGGGAGTAAATTTTATGGATGGTCCTTCAACTTTGTGTTCATTACCCAAAAGTTAATATTTTTTTGGGTTACGTAAAAGTCATTCAACTTTGTGTTCATTACCTAAAAGTCACTTTTTTTTCTTTTATTACACAAAAATATTTTATTATACTCTAGCTATCACAATAGTCACTTTGACCAGATTTTATAAAACTTTTACCTGAAAAGTCTATTATGCCCTTGACATTATAAATCCTCACATTTATGTAATACCTTCTATTATATAATTTTACCAAGATTTTTTACTTATAATTAAAATAATTTAATATTATTTTATTTATTATTTTTATAATATGTTCGTACATTCAATTTTCCCTTAACATTAATTTTCAAGATATATAGGTAGCATTATTAAATTTGTCAGTAACATTACTGTGAACAAATCTCAAGTCAACGTTCTTAACCATGCCTAATGAAATATTTTAATGATAATTATAAAATCAAAGTTCACAGATTTATCAGTCAAGCCATATTCGTTAATCCAATAAAATAAATACCCACATTTAATACTGTGGTACATCAGATTAACACTTTCAAATAAATAATATAACAGATAAAGCTATAAAATATTTAATTTTTTTGGTCAACAATATATTATATTAAAAATTAGTTAAGGTTGGTTACAGTAAACTGTCATCACCAAAAATAAGGAGTAGTCTATTGCTACATTGGTACTATTACACTCCCTTGTTAAAAAAATTAATATTAAACATAAATATCTTTGGATTTTTTATTTAAAATTTTTACTAACTATAAAATATTATCATTTGTTAAACAAATTTATTTTTATTATTTGAAATATATATTAAAAAATAAATAATTTTTGTCAGTTTTATATTTTAAAATATGTTCATGTCTGAATATGATTAAATAAATTGAGTGCCATGAAAAAATTAAATGTCTGAATATATTATAAAAATATAATAAATAATATAAAGTTATTTTAATTATAAGTCAAATACCTAGGTAAAAATATATTATATAGTATATAACATAGAAGGTATTACATAAATGAGATAATTTATAATGTCAAGGGCATAATAGACTTTTCAAGTAAAAGTATTGTAAAATCTGGCCAAGGTGACTTTTGCGATAACTAGAGCAAAGTAAAATGATTTTTGTGTAACAAAAGAAAGAAAAATCACTTTTGGGTAATGAATACAAAGTTGAATGATTTTTACCTAGCAAAAAAAAAAAAAAATTGGGTAATGAACACAAAGTTGAATGACTACCCATGAAATTTACTCCAAAAAAGGGAATAAGAAAGAGTAGTAAATTTTGTATTGTAATGTACTTTTCTTTCAGTTAAATTAAACTTGTGCGATAAAAAAATAGTTATGTTTACCCGAAAAATTGGATAGAATTAAATTTGCATATGGTTCTAAGGATACGTGATATAACTTGGTACAAATTGCAGAGTGAAATAGAAATATATA